GTGTGTGTGTGTGTGTGTAATGTAATCTGCAGGGTGTGTCTCTCCATATATCACTACTGATATTACGACCCACATCCACAGGAAACCTGACAGCATGAATGATGCTGCAACAGTTAGATTTGAACTGACGGAACAAAAGGTCTTTTTTATCAAACATGATCCAAACAATTGTGATGGACCCCTGCATCAGGGCAACGAGAGAGGAGGGGGAGCATGGCTGCTTTCAAAGATGTACTGAACTTTGTGAAAATTTGAATGTCCAAGTCTATTACTCCTAACTTGTTCTGTAACTTTTTTCTGAACTTATAAAGAACATACAGCCAGATTGGTTTCACAGGTTCATCCTATGAATAATTTCTAACGATGGTATACATTTTATTTCTATTTATACCATTTCAGTGTGTATCTTATTTAGTGAGTCTCCCAGTGTAAGGTTTGGGGATGGGGGGAACTAGGGAGGAGGGTGGGACCTGGCAACCAATGGGTTGTATATATGTGTGTGTGTGTGTGTGTGTGTGTGTGTCTTGATGAAGTGGGAACAAGGGATTTATGGTTGGCCGTAAAGTCTAGATACATGTGTGTGCTGAGTCCATGAATAAGAAAAAAATGGTGCAGTAAAACTTCAACCAACTACAATAAGGTTTGCAGAATTAATGCTGGTTTATCTGTAATCATACAGCGACAATACGATAGAAATGTTAAATTTACCTGTGTAATAGAAAAGACATGGCATTCCCACCAGCAGCTCCAGCACCAGGATGCTGAGCAGAATGTAGGTTTCCTCAGGTGGTGATAATTTCGCAGCCAGAACAACCAGCAGCAAAACGTTCCCTGTGAAACACACAAACATTTCCCCTTCAGTACTACTGCCACCTTGTGGAGAAACCTGAAACCCTACACGAGCAGTAAATGGACGACGTGTGCAACTGTACCTGTAGAGAGAGCGGCGAGCGGGAGGTGATTGAGTCCTTGTGTCTGTCTGTAGAATCGCAGGTATCCTCTCCTTCTGGCCTGAACGTGATGGTGATGTGCACAGCGAGTGAACACCAGCACCAGCACCCACAAACACACCTTCCCATACACGATGGCACTGTCACCAGACATGGCACCCAACACACTCGCACACTCCTCCACCTGGCCAAATTTTAACACACACAGAACCGCCACACACACCGACAACACCACATACACAACCTGAAAAGAGGAAGAGAGAAGTGGTGGTGAGACCAGCACATGCTATTATTATACAATTATCATACAAAGAAAATAAACAGACTACTGTGAGAACCAAAATAAAGATTGTAGAAAAAGTCTTTACAGGTGCTGCATTAATCAGATTATCTTCTAAATAGGGTGACATTTAAATTTGAATATGAAATGATTGTAGGGCTGCAACGGATGATTGCATTCATTTTCAATTAATCTCAGGTTTATTAAATTGTCTTAATTAAAAAAGATCTGCTGCAGTTTCCCAAAGGGACATCTTCAAATGTCCTGTTCTATCCAAGCATCAGGGAAACACAATTTTCAAATCTGTCCAAACATCGGATCGTGCTTGTTTATAGATTCAACACTTACTTTCAGATTTGTGTGTTTATTATTTTACGGTAAGTTATTTAGTTTCGAAAGCAGAAAAAAACTACAGCTCGTTCTATGTTACCTGTTGTATGTTTACACAGTCCGGTTACAGCTGAAATTAGGGAATTCTCTTATTAATACTGTGCATGTAAACACAATGTGTGTGTGTGTGTGTGTATGTGTGTATCATACATGCAGCACAGACAGCAGCGCGGCATGGCAGTGTGTTGGCAGTGTCTGAAACTCTCTCCTGATGGCAGAGTGGAGGGCGTCAGCAGAGATCAGAGGTCCATCCACCAGAGAATCTTCTTCTAAGCTGCGCGTCATATCTACTGAAGCTCCAGCCTGCTGTATGAAAACCACATCATCAAACTATTATGGTTAATTCATCAGTGGTGGATATTTCTTCCACTACTGATAAATTGATTGAAGTGATTAATAATCTGTCAGATTGTTCTATTAATCTATTGCTTAATCTTTCTCTAGAACATTATGAGCTTCATGGAAACAGATGTTATGACATTGGTACATCAGCTAATAAAAACATTAATGATTCCTAAGATCTTATTTATCAAACTGCCATGACAATGATGTGTGAGAGTT